GATCCGTGGAGAATGTCTAATTCCATAAGTATTTGACTGAGTTTGCTCTCATCCAACTCCAAACGTATTTCCTAGTTAGAAAGTCATCGAATTATGATCACCATTACTAATATTACAGTTAAAGGAAGTCATTCATTTCACTAACCTTCATTGCCATGATTGCACCTGTAGGCATATGTAGCACTTTCTGCACAGTACCAAACTGGCCTTTACCTAATTCTTCAATGTACTTGAATTCTTCCATATTTATCTTATAACTAACACCGTTGCTGAAGTCTACTCCTTGTGCGTGGAGAACAGCCTTCCCGCGGAAACTCAGTTTACCTGAGGGATCTCTGTTCAGGGGAGAAAGAATTTATTGTAATTCGATCGAAAGGGATTTTTATACGTAAACATGACATTCAACTCTTAAAAGATCCTCACACATAGTCACGAACTCTTGTAAAATAATTCTGTTGTGAATCAAAGCCGCCGATTGTACCAGGCGGTTTTTTAAGAACTCTTTTACTCTGGGTATCTTGTATTGTCTTTGTCCTAGATGTTAAATGTGGCTGCTGATGGGAGGACGATAGCTTATAATTCGAAGATACTAACGAGCCGTGGATAGTCTTTACTGCAGTCCCCCCAGTAACTGGACTTTCAGATTCGCTATAGACGAAGAAAAATCATCAAAATAGAATGTATAAGACAGGGTTAAACTTACAATCACAACAAGTGTCAGACAGCACTAACCCGGGTTGTAGAGACATGTTGCAATTGAATCAAGGACAAATACGCAAGATAAGAAGGAAAGTCAAGATTATGTTGTGAATAGTTTACTATTAGTATTTACGTCAAAAGCCAAGAACGTGCGTTGAGGCATGGTGTGACACTGCTGATACAGTCCCACGCTGCGGTCAAGCTGAGAAGTATCACGAGAGTACAAGTGTCTTAATATTAAGTACCAGAAAGAACAGCACGTGTTAGCCCTCGCTCTCACATGTTAGTTTCAGACAGAAAGACAATTCTTTGATCGTCTATTAACTCGCATTAGGTAAAATTTGCTCACGAGAACAAATGGTCGTGATTTATTCCATTATTCTTATAGAGTAGAACGTGAACAAACATCAGTAAGACAAGTTAGCGAACCTTTTTTCCAACAGGTAAACAGTTCTCATGAACCTTACGTTATAACCTCGCTAGCGTAAGTGAAATAAAAATCGGTGCAGCTTCTGTATATCTAATTTAAGACAGAGTGTTTCTTTTTTTCGCTTTTTTTGGTTATATCCTGGCAAAGACTTTTAAGGAGGGGGCATATACATCGTGTCTTTCTTTTTTTAGGGTAGATTCGCTATTTTTTCCTTCAATACCTTCAACCTTGCCCTCGTCAAAGTTCTCGGTCTTTTTCTCAAGGAGGGGAGGTCCCGATATATTCAACATTGACTTGTGATACACGAAAGTAACGTTAAATGCTCTCGAGAACTGCATGAGTATGTTAAAAGCTTTCGGTTATTATTGTTTGTTTAAGGTTTGTTATTAATCTTAAAACTTGAGAATGCGACGACGTGATAAAACCGAATGGAACAACAAAATAATGGAATTAATTAAAAATAGTTGCGGAATTTCCATTACATACAAAATTGTCTCATCAATAGCAGCTATTTGGTCTAACGCTGCCGAAGCAAATAATTACGTTGCGATTGGATCGTCAAACAAGTGACGCTAAGAACACGTGGAAATAACCTACGACCTTTATGACGTATACATCGGGAAGAAAGTCATACGTTCGCAACGTAAGATACTTATCATTAAGACATCTACTTCGAGATAACGGAAAGACTCGCTCCGAATTGATACACAAGTAACATCCACTGAACGTAGCCTTTTTCATAGGGTTTAATTTGAGAATGTTTTTACTTCAACATTCCTTTTTGCTATGTAAATAGCCGGTAACTCGACATGTCGAGAAATAATTCATTGCCTTCTTACCATTGCATGATAATGACCTCTAATTGGCTCACGAAATGCCGCGAACCTCGCGTCTGATGATCTCAGTTTATTTGTAAGCGACAGTCATGTATGAGTATAACTTTAGAAGTTATTTTTAACATTAAAGTTGAGATACGACGGCCAATTATGAAAATAATATTTGTTAACGCTTGAGTAATAAGAACTTAATCCAATATCCACGCGAATGATGCTCATATATCTATATTTAAATTATCAACCATAGTAATAGCGGGATGTTTGGAAAATACGATTGTTATTATAATTGAAAGATAAATATAACTAATATAATATAAGATAATTTAATTGGGATTATTCATATTATGATAATATGTAATAGCAAATTTTACATAATAATAATCGATAAATAATGAATGATATTTCATATACCCCGACTAATTACATGTAAAACCTGACTGGATATGGCAAATACTACAGCAAACCAAAGCGTACATGGTTAAGTCCACAGCATTAAATTGACAAGTTTTATGATGAACGAAAGTTGACCGTTTAGTTCATACGATTTATGTATCACTCTCTACCTGTTATCATTACAATAGGTGTAAGTGCTTCCGTGGTTTGGTTATTTCTATGGATAATTGACAAACAAATTCTATTTTGTAACTGTCGCATGTTCATGCTTCTAACCGGGACAATCTTACAGATTTCTGTTCTATGATGATGCCTTGCACAAATACAATGGCGGCCAGTGTTTTGGTTTTTTTTTTTTAAAAAAAAAATATCAATTTTGTTCTTTATTATTTTTAAAAAGGTTACTTGACATAAGTTCAAGACTGATATCATTACTGCAAAAAATCAAGATAAAAAGTGGCTTTCTTTTAATTTTATGACTAAAATTTTGAGTAAATTGACAAGCAAACTGTATATCGGACAAAAATTATATTTTTCGATTTGTAATCTTCCAAATTTTAATTTCTAAAACGGGAACATCTATTACTATAGTAGGTTTGAGAAAGTTTATAGTTAATCCAAATCTAAACTGAGATTATTAAAATGCAAATATAAAGACAAAGGTATTTTTTAACCATGTTTACTAAGTAAACAAGAAAACAATAATACATTTACATATTACTATAATAACAGATAACCGATTTTTGTATTGGATTTTTATAAAAACCATAAAAACAATTGTCACCGCCATTATTTTCGTCGGGGACTGCACCACCGAATAGCCTTCGTCAAGAGAGGCGATGCCTTTAGTTTTCGAGTCAAATCCATCCCATTCTTCATCACTTAGATAAGACTGTCTCAAAAAAAAATAAAATTTTTTTGACATGACCGGATTACGCGTAACTCAATCAGAACAAATAAGTTTAAGTCTGTGAATTTCCACGTAAAGTCTGTTTACAGCTCTACAAACTCGTAACTCCAAAGTATCCGGTCGATCAATAAAAATTCTATTTATTATAAATATTTAGTATCGTACATGCTTCAATCCGACGTGGCATACTGTCAATTAAATTAATATACTGTAAGTTTTGGATGGGATTCTTCTTGCAATGCTTCTTCAAGTTCATAAAAATTCTTTGGATGCACAGATCGTTTTCGAAGTCTCCGTTCAAGTTCATGCCACAAATATTCAATAGGATTAAGGTCCGGGGCCAATCTGGGGGAATCTTAATCTTTTTCTGTGTAATCCAATTTGTAACATCTTTTGCTGTTCGAACAAGACAACGACCCAAACATACAAACAGTCTAGCTCAATTATTCCTTTTAGTTACGGACTAGCCAGTTAATAGAAATTTTAAAGAAGCGTATAGAAATAAAGCTTACAGTTTATTAGTATAAAAAAAAAACCATTTACTATAGATTTTTCTTGATCGAAAAGAATTGGATGGAAGCAAACAAAATTTTTGTTAATTTAGATAAAAAGGTGATTGCAAGCAATGGTAATAAGATAAACGATTGGGTAGTATTTGTTTACCATATCACAAGCTGTTCTTGGACAGTAAAAAAAAATTGTTCTCGTTACTTTTTTCGTGCACTGTAAATAAATCCGCTCACTGTTGTTTTAAGATTTTTGTATGATTAAACTAAATAAACTAAATTCTAGCACGTGGTCTGATATAAAGTCATTGATACCAGACAGTATCTACATTTATGAGCTTGACAAAATTCGACAAGCGATTACTAATTTCGCGCCTTGTATTCGGCCATATTGGATGAGATGCAACCAGAAGGAGCGTATTATCAAGTCGTTTCTTTATTATCGCTATTGTATTTTATACAACATTATTCGTTTTCTAATTATGATCACCAACTAAAAATAATCCTCGTCAGAATTTCCGCTATCCTATGAGTTTACCCTTCTCTTTAAAAGAATAAAGAAGTTTATTCATAATAGCCAATAACTTTCGATGTGGAACAGACTTTGCAACTTTATTTACCACAGCCTAAACATCTTCAATTTGGAGCTCACGGTGGTAAAGAGATTGTTTAGCTATTTCTACACAATAACAAGCAAAGAGTCGTTTCTTTATTGTTTAAGACATTCGGGCTTGTATAATATTAGAGCCTCCTTATATGGTGTAAAAGATCCGTTATTACATTTATTCCAACTTTGAATAGCCCCTGCTAACAATACTTTCTGAAATGCCAATACCACAGCTTCTGATTGACGGCGGTAGGATCGGAAAAATAATTGTAAGCATTAGAATAGAGATAAAGTGTGGATAATAGTATTGCAAAAAATTTACCGAGGTATCCATAATCATATCTCAGAATCTCAATAATAGGAGAACGGAATCAGCCGAAGGCTGATAGAACGAAAGCCAAAACCAAGCCAACGATTAATTACTAATTAACTGCAGGATCATAACTTGTAACTAACATGCCGCTCACTTCATCGAAGAGAATTAGTATTAGACAATTATGTGGCGCAGTATTAGAGTTTTGTATTCTAATACTAACACGTGATATTCAGCTCTAACACGATTAATTCACAAATTCTTCTTGGATGAAGATAGAATAGAGAACCAGATTTAAAAATCGTAATGGATGGTAGCTCGCAGAGTCGCCGACTTCCTGAGAATAGTAGAGCCTTTTCTCAGGCACATATACTACCCAGACATAGTGCAGAAAGCACGGACTATGTCGGCATCACAATCGCCGACGAGCTTCCGCAGAGACAGTCAACTCTATTGCATTCACAGTCCACGACAACTTCGCAAGGCTCTCCACATAAGGAACAATTGACAAGACAGGACTTTAGAGGCCTTTTTCATCGCATTCGGTCAAAATCGGATTTGCTTCCACTCCCCGCGCGAAAGTCTACAAAAAATTACGCCAGTGTATGTGAGATTGGCTTGGTTCCTTCATTGATTCGCAGGGATCTCTATGCACATGAGAGTTTCTTGTGGGGTTATATACGCGATATTTTCAATAGCTGCACTGCTTAATAACTTGTGTTCAATTAATTACGTTAAAACAGCCACTGAAGGCCATGACCGTAGATCTAAACAATACTTACCATCGGATCAATCCTGTCTTCCGTTATGAACTGTCTTATAATCCTCGGCGTGTATTGACGAAACCCTCAAAAGGTATTAAGAATGACGGCTATGATAATGAAGATTCTGATTATATATTATATGTAAATGATATATTAGGCAGTGGTGAGGGTCAGAAGTGAGTAATACTTGTTCCATAATTTGTTTTCAGTCCGCCTGACTTCGACTATTGCTAATTTGTGGTTATTATCTGCAAGGTATCTTATACTTGACATCCTTGGTTCGGGTACCTTTGGTCAAGTCGTAAAGTGTCAAAATCTGAAGACAAAAGAGATAGTTGCAGTGAAAGTTGTTAAGAATAAGCCAGCATACTTTAATCAGAGCATGATGGAAGTTACAATACTGGAGCTGGTTGGTACATTAGCTAATTGTAATGAACTTGCAATTTGAGACCTTGACTTATTCTGGTGACTCAATGCCTGTAGTTGAATAATACGTGGGATGCACATGACGAACACCATATCTTACGCCTAATGGATACGTTCATTCATAGGCACCATCTTTGTTTGGTGTTCGAACTTCTGTCAGTTAATCTTTACGAACTGATAAAACAGAATCAATTTAGGGGGTTAAGCACGAACCTCGTACGAGTATTTACGGCACAATTGCTGGATGCATTGACGGTACTGAATGAAGCACGTATAATCCATTGCGACCTGAAGCCCGAAAACGTGCTCCTGAAGAAGTGCGTGATTGGCAATTAGTATGCTTTGGGCATAGTTGATAGAGAATACTTGTTTTGCTTTTACGGCCTGATTTATTCGCAGCCATTTATTTACTAACTGAATACGTTTTATTGCTAGTCTTGAATCCCCAACCATAAAAGTAATTGATTTTGGCTCCGCATGTCATGAACATCAGACGGTTTACACATATATCCAATCACGGTTTTATCGTAGCCCTGAAGTATTATTAGGATTACCGTAAGTGCTGTTTGTCATTAATAGTTACTCAATGTACGTCTGGGTTTTTTCCATATCAATGTCTGCAATGTTATCTAAATTTTTTGCTTTGGCTCTCCCTAAAGCTATTCGTCTTCGATAGACATGTGGTCACTTGGATGCATTGCAGTGGAATTGTTCCTTGGATTACCGTTATTTCCCGGGAGCTCTGAATACAACCAAATATCGCGTATAGTTGAAATGCTTGGCGTCCCTCCAGTTTATATGATTGAAGTGGGCAAAAGCGCACATCAATATTTCGAACGCTATTTAACAGAAAATGGTCAAAAAAAGTATCGATTAAAATCAATGTCACAATACCAGAGAGAACATAATTGCGTAGAACAGATATCGAAGCGTTACTTCCAAGCTTCGACGCTGCCAGATATCATCAAATCTTATCCAATAACGAGAAAAGGTCTTAGCCAGAAGGATATTGATAAAGGCAAGATCTGTTATCCACATTTTTAACATTTCGTTAGTTGCCTTTGCATCTAATGCTTACTTTCTATTCCATGTGTCCGATTTATGATTTTTTCTCTCGCTCCAATTATCTGCAACTGACTAATTCCATTTACTTCTGCAGAAATGCAAAACAGGGTAGCTTTCATCGATTTTCTACAGGGCGTTCTCAATTTAAACCCGATTGAGAGGTGGTCTCCTCAGCAAGCAAAATTGCATCCATTTATAACAGGTGAAAAGTTTGTAGGCAAATTTACGCCACCTATGCAGCCCAAATCTTCTAAAGTGAATGAACGGACAGCGGCCTCTTCCGTCTCGAACGCATCACAGTCATCGACAAAACTACCGCCTGCTAGTTTCAAACAATCATCAACTTCCGGGAATTCACGCAATAATAAGGGAATGGGAATTTCGATTTCGGATGCATCGAAAGGAGGACTGCCTACGCATAGGGATGATGCATCAATACTTTCACACATTCTGTCTAAATCTAGCACCAACTCAAAGCAAACGACATTAACACCTAAATCTGCTTCATCTCAACGTCCTCGAGCGAGTACAATTGGAAACATACAAGTACCACCCCAGCTACAGAGAGCGGCTGCTTTAGCATATCCTGTACATAGTGATTCATTCTCTGAAAGATCAAAAGTTCTTAGAGAGAAAGATGCTCGTCGATTACCACAACATTATCCACATTTACAGTATGTTGAAGAGCACGATCAGCAAGACATTCCTCAATTCTCAGTTGTTGTTGACAGCAATGACTCACATACATCAGATAATTCCGAGACAGTTGGTATTCGAATACAGAATGAATCTCACAAGCGAAGTACAGGTCATGTGATATCAGATAATAGGAGTAGTGGGATTATGCTTGGTGGTATGTCAACCATAGGCCATACCATTAAAGATAAAAATGATTTGGGCGATATGTCTGGATCTCCAGGGTTACCGTTGCATTTACCACATCAATATAATCAAACCTCCCGACAACACCGACCTGAAAGTCCTCGAGAGATAACTACTGGATGGTCATTATCGTCAACTTCTCATCGACCGCCCTTACCACAGCCACCACCTCCCATACATCACAGTTATCAGCAGTCACAAATCCATCGACATTCATCACCGTTGCCCGTAGCATCTACCAATGCAATAACATCAATAATTAACCATCATCCTCCGCCGCCGCCGCCTCCCCCCCCATCTCAACGTCAATCTCACTACCATAACTCATCATACGCTACAACTGAATTGCCATATTACAAAAATTCTGCTCACAATTATTCGGCAAATAGCTCATCATTATATTCAAATAATCCTCAACAGACTACTCATCATCCTCTGCCTCTACCACCAGTTCATCAACAACAGTCGGCTGTAGCAGGAAACTATCATCAAGGTCCAATTCTTCCCTCTTCTCACGAACACTATCAGTATCAATACGTTCAATACCCTCCTCAATATAATAATGGCCACAGACATCATAGAATATCACCGTCTACTTCACCGTCATATCCGCCCTCGACATCTCCTGGTAGTTACCAGGGCCCAGGTTCTCTGACACAATCAACCTCATCATCATCCCAATCTGCGTCTTTTCTTCCGACTCACCATCAAACTACCCACAATACTCATACAACAATCCGACCTTCACCAAATTCCTATGCTGCAGTAGTGGATACAAATAATTCATCCAATCAGCATAGCCATCACCATAAACACCAAATCAATAACCATGAACCACGATATAGTAATCGAAGAGAGATCAATACGATGCCATAAGTACATACCGAGATGAACTATTATGATTTGGATTGAACATATTAGCTATGTTAGGATAGCCTAATGTAAGCATCTGCCAATCGAGAAGGGAAGTGAATACCACCGAGAAAGACAAAGACAAATGCACTTATGAATCGTGTTTATGTTAAGACAATTAAATATTGCCAGCATAAAGAATGCTAATACATGTATTCTGAGGGAGCCTTCCCTTGTGTATTTTTGTATTTAAATGATCTTTGCGAATTAATTGTCGCTTTAAATTTATCTTATGAATTTAACAAGAAGTCCGATAGAATCGCTCTATATCAGTGGTTATAACAAGTGATTGCAATGCGACGAGATAATCTTTGTATACTTGACAATTGTAACATTATTAACTATGTTACTGTGTTATATATTCGGTAATTGTATTGTGAAGTTAAAGTCTCCGCTAGTCACCGAATGGAGAGTAATAATTAATGGATAAACATAGAAAACCATAGTATAGCATTCGAAATAAATGTTCAAAAAGGTCTTCTTTTTTTTACCGAAGGCAACTCACCATGGCATAATTTACTGGCAACAAGACAGCATTACAATATTCCGTTACATCGAGGCATTAAGGCGGCTGGCCAATAATTTCAGACCTTATTTCTGGGGAATCTATAATTATATCGACATGACAATGACAGAAGAAATATTTGTAAAGTATTGAATATTATCGTGTTAACACTTTATTTCTCCATCAATATCAATTATTGTTTGAAGGTAATAGAGTTCCTTATTATTATGGTATCGTCCTCCCGGTTTCCCAATTATAAGTATGGGAATAATTCATTATACACTGAATGCTAATTACGTTGGTTACGATCATTAATTAACATCACGGGTGCACCGTTAATAGTGCTAGTTAGACGGTGGGTTAATGAATTTGACAGTGGAGAAAACCATGCTCCAAAAGACTCATTGAGAGCTGTTTATCAAAAAAAGATATTAGTCATTTCAATGGGAAGTAGACGTGAGCTTGTAATATTAAAAAATTTTCCGGTAAATTTCGTGATCACAAACTATCATATTAATATAATAATAAGAGTTGTTAACTAATAACAGTCTCTTTTTTTATTATCAATAATTTTGCGCCACACTGTAGAAGTATCCAGTGTTTATAGTTAGTAAAACTTAAATACATTGGCTGTCCGAATAACTTTGAGAATAAAATGTCTAATAAAACGTAATAAAAACCTAGCAAATATCCAATTGTTGAATTGTTCAAGTGTTCTACAATACACAAATTTCAACGTATTCAATGCTTACGTACAAAGCGAAGCATTCGTGGATTAATCAATCGTATGATAATTCATTGTTTTTGCAAATGTCATTATTCTTGTATTTCTCCTAAAGAGAATCGGTTACTATCTGTCATCATGCCCGGAATGCGTGATTTTTGTAGATATAGTTGGCCTCACCATTGAGCAAGGCATAATTTATTGTTATAGCACTGTATAAGTCCTCTAGGAAGCAATGCTATATCAATATTGTTAATTATGACTTAATTCTCTGGAGGCAACCAAAAGTATTCGTTACTCCTCAAAATATAAATAAATATTTTATTTATTTATTGTGAAAATCTTCGTTATCCGTATTTATCAATAATTTTTGTATTTTTAGGGGGGAAAATTGTGTATCCAGTCTTGTTATCGTTTTAAAGCTGCAGCTCGGTGAAGTGGTATATGCATAACATAAACACTGCCACTTTATCGAACTACTTCTTTGCTACAGTAATGTATGGACAATATAGATTTCAAAATTAAAGATTTCTACTATGTTTTATTAGTAAATTTCGAGGAGGTTTAGCATTATGTGTACATACCTAATATAAATAAAATCTTAAGACCGAATAAAGACAGAGCAACAAATTTATACGTAACGCTTGCGCAGAGCGTAAATAACTCACTGTTCGCAGAGTTACGCTTTCTAGACCTCGAAAGAAATCCATGCGTTCGGAAAATTCGTTTAGACATTAATTAATATTATATTATACACAAAAGGGCTGGAATTTATATGATACACGAGAATATTAATCAACAAAGCCCATCATGAAGACGCGACGAGAGATTTTTTCATCTCTCGTAATGATTACATTATTGACCAAATTTGGTAAACATTGCTTGGTTACATTGACCGCAGCATATCAATTCCGGTTTATATAAAGTCCGATAATCAAAAAACTTATTTTATGTGCTGTTCGATAGCAGACCATGAATGTTGTTACAATTATTGTGTTCGTTTCAATGCTTTAGAAGCTCTCACGCTTGATCAGAGGTAATTGAACGATCAAAAAACATAGCAACATCCTTTTTTCATCGTTATTCCCAATTTTCGTGAGAAAATAACATATACCAAAAGGTATTTTTGCCGTGGATAATCTTGCCACTCGTATTAATCAACTTCTTAAGCAAATTGAGTCATGATTTAAGAGAAATATTCTTTGACTCCATCCAACTCCACCCGAAGTAACTTCTAATCATATATCGGAAACTTTATCTTTTCTTTTCTCTCATAAATACATGCGTCATCGATCAATAAAATTAATTTCGCTGATCTTTCCTCTCACAGTTTCCAAACCACTGCCTTATTTCAGACATCGGCTCCAGTATCAATTTCAAGAGATCCGGATTGCGTTCCCTACTGGAACATCAAGTCGCGGCCTGGTCAAAGAAGTTGCAACAGAGACAGGCTGTGTCGGTTCGCCTTTGACCTTCTCGAGTTTGTCTTCAGCTTAATGGCACAAAGATCGTGGTTCTCTCAGAAGATAACCCAACAGACTAATGGGAAATATCCTCGCCATTAATACAGTCTTCATTTGCCGATTACAAGGAAAGCGTTCTGCCAGGTAAATATTTTATTATAAATATTTAACTTTAGCTTTATTTTTGTAATAAGTGATCAAGCAAATGAATTCTAATCGACTTGATCTATTCAGGTACAGATGAGGACGGAACAAGACAAAAAACAAAAAACGCGAGAAGAAAGTGCAAACAACACGACGGGCCAAAAGAATGAAGAAGGCAGACTTGACACGATCACTGAAAATACGAATGTATCCCAATTTCTCTCAGAAGACCTTGCTTAGCGGAAGAAATTCACGTTGCAGCCATTGACCCCGGAGTTCGGAGACAATGATATCAATCGTGTTTTTCGCTTATGCCTTGCCCTTGATGCCTTGATCTCACGCACCACCAGAGCATCGGCAAAAAAGCGAACTCATTTAAGCGCTCAAGCACGCATTAGAAGACGTATTCAAAATTTAGGGGATGAAGTACACAAAAAAACTGCATTGTGGTTGACCAAGACTTTTGACATAATCGTGCTACCAAAATTTAATAGCATGCTAGGTTTAGGAATCGATTGATATCTAAAGCGGAAGAATTTGGTAAAATCGTAATAACATCCGTATCTGAAGCATATACGAGTAAAACATGCAGTCGTTGCGGATATATTAGGAGGAATTTGGGTGGAAATAAAGTATTTGGGTGTGATGAGATTAATAGAGATCTAAATGGCGCCCGGGGAATTTTTTTTCCGGGCATTGATGGAGCCTTAGTTATGTAACGTATTTATGCCAATTGATTGATTATAGTTGACTATTTTAGCTATAGTTGATCGATTCAATCCATCCGAAATATATATTTTCTAAAGCAAAAGAATTTCTTGCTTAAATGACATTAATATTAATATTAAGTTTTACAGACGCAAAAATTGCTACTTATTAAGTTTGGACATTTCCTAAATTTGGAATGTCCAATTAACGTCAACCACGAGATTTTCTCACAAATAACGATAATCCCCGCGGGAAGTGATGCTGGTTTGAATAGTAACAATGTCAGAGGGATCTCCTTCGTTGCCAACAATTGCCGCTTACCAAGCGCTGTTCTTATTCACTGGCTTCTATCAGGCGCTTGGCACACAATATTTGTACTATCAGGGAGCTGCTAGTAAGTATACATTTTTGTTTATTGGATGGCAATATGAGGATTGACTAAGACGTTTTTGTTAATTTGACATGTAGCTGGCACCAGGTAAAAAAAAGATCACTACAATACAAATGATACGTTCCTTTCTGATGCTCACACTCTCTTCTAACCTTCGTTAGTTTACTCACGAATACGTCGCAAGCCGTCGGTGCAACCTTAGTGGGACTGTTACTAATACCAAACTGGTGGGCGAACAAGTGGGGACATGCTCAAAAAGGTTACGAGTCAGTAGACAATGAAATCGACATGGTGGATATGAATCGCTTAGAGGTTTCATGCTTCATGTATCTCTCTTCTCTGATTAACCAAGCTATAGAAACTATTGCTTCTACTGACTACTCACGGAATTATTGTTACACTTTAGACGCAGACTCGGAAAGACTATCAGCTTGTGCCAGATGACGTTGATGAAGATGTAAAAGACACTGAAGTGTTGGCAAATATCAAGCAAGAGCTAAAAGACACGAATGAAGATGTAAAAGTTATTGACGAAGATGCAAAAGATGCAGATTCTATCGATCGTTCATCGAAGCCGCTGAAAGAACATGTTAATTACAGAGCCATTGCTGGTGTAGCAGCTTTAGATGCAGTGGGCAACTATTTAACTACGATTGCGTTTTTCTACATTGGAAGTGGAGTGAGTAGTATTTGAACGTCTGTCTACAAGCAGATGTCAGTGCTTTGATAGCACTATTGCCATTTCATCATTTTATTCGCAATTTCTGCAATATATCTGTTTCATCCACTTATCATTTCTTATTTTTATCCAAGTGTAGATGTTCCAAGTGATATACAGCTCTGTCGTAATATGGTGCGCCATTCTTTCATTCATCTTTCTAAAACGCAACCTATCACTGGTTCAATGGCTATCCATTATAGGAGTATCACTTGGACTTGGTCTTAGCGCATTGGGAATCAAAGAGTCTGCTGAGGTGGTACCCGCAAAGACAGCAGCACCAGCTGATGATTCTGATTTTTCCATAACATCATTCCTGTCTTCTGCACATTCAACAATGTTCGGGGCGGTGTTGGCTATGATTTCTACGTTTGGCTATGCGTGTATTTATGTCATCTCTGACAGGATATTATCAGAGCGAGTTCCCAACACAACCCCGCCGTCTCCCGAAAAGACTTGTTTCATTATTGGAAGCTGTAGCACGGTTTTATGCACGATATATATACTGTTCTATACTATACCCAATTGGGATACGCTTGTAGTCGAAAAGATGAAAGCGAGAGAACCGCATGCGAGCACCGTAGTCATATTAACTATATTCGCATTCCTCGTATTTGCTTCTTTACTGCATAATCTAGCATACTATTGGTTGGTGAAGCATACAGGAAATGTATCCACCGGAATACTGAATTCTTTGAGGGCAATTGTTATATTTATTCTGAGTCACTGGTTATTCTGTAATCAGGACCATGCACAGTGTTTTAATTACTGGAAGGGTGTTAGCGTAGTGGTGGTTGTTGGATGCGTTGTATCCTTTTCGCTCAGTAAGAGATCAACAATGCACGATTAACGTTATAGTATAACTAAAAAGAACGGATTAGTCTTTTATTTATAATAGACACACGTCTAATCCCAATCTTATCACAAACAGTTATACAATAGACATTGGGGGGAGGGTGTCGGCATACAAGCCTTTACGAAAAGGCAACTACACTTTAGTATTTCATAACATTCATTTGGTGTCTCTCTACAAAGAAATAAAATCGTTACATCGACATAATCATGGGCTTAAGCGCTCCCTTCATCTGTTAAATAAGCATATGAAGTACTGTATCTCGGAACATTTCAGACAGACGTTTTTGAAAGTCGTACAGATATGTCATTCCTATTACTATTTGAATAATTCAGACAAGCATGATTAGATTGTACGGAAATCTGCTATATCAAGCTAAGCATTTAGACAGACACAAACCATATGGTAAGTATCCTTTTTTAGGATTGAGTTCTTGTACGCACACTGATGGATGTATGTCATATTATTGTTACTTGTTCTCTGGACTATTCTGATCTGAAAGATCCGTGAGACATTAGCGATTTTTGATCTCAATTATTTTAATAAATTAATAAACATGAATAATCTTTTTTTCCAGGTTAATGTCTTTTTTATTACAGTAGAAAATAGAAGTAATAAACGCAAATTACGTTTTTGTTAGAGCATAAAATTGTTATTAGTCTTAATTTTTTGTGACTTACGTTTGAAAAACTGTTTGATAAAATATTTGGAGTAAAGCTAGTTTTTTAATTCCATTTTATTTCTCTGAATTGCAAACTTGTAAAGATCTCATTAATTTCTATAAATTGCTTATAATAACGATAAATAAAATAAATAAATAAATAAAAATATCACACTGATAATCGAACTATTTATTCTTTACGGTGCACCCCTGGTAAAAAGTGACAAAAACTTAGACCTCAGATCGCAGGTCTGGAGTCAAATTTTGATTTCTATATAATAATATGTTCGTAAGGTCAGTCAGAGTTTTGTGTATCGTAATTTTTTCCTGTCTGGTCTAATACTCCAGCGTCCGCTTAACTACAGCATATTAATCTAACTTCCGTAAGCCTGTATTAATTATAAAAGGGTGATAAATTCGACGCGCCTAATTAAGGAATTCCTTATACTCTACTCGATCACTCCTAGTAAATGGGTCCAATCATTAATTGTAGACAATTAATTTCACTACCAATTGTAGTATTTTATTTAATATGAATATGATCATTTCGGGTGCGGCATATTTTAAATTGCGAATCAATGACGTCGGCTTCAGTCAACACCGAAATCTAACAGAGTTATCAATGACTTTAGTATTTCACTCACTTTTTCACATGCTGGTCGTTTGTCAGGATTTTCATCCCAGCATTTTGAATATAGATTGATATAGTATTTAGAGGTTCCAGGAAAGGCTGAATCACGAGAACCATTTAATCTGTATAACAAAACTTCATAATTTGTGGTAGCCCCTTCACAGGGGATTTTTCCACTTGAAATCTCCCAAAGTATTACTCCAAGACTGAAGATGTCTGACTTTTTTCCACGTCTATAAGATTTGTCTTTGAAAGATAATGGGTCAATGTATGCCATACTTCCTTCACCTTTTGATGAAGGCATAATTTGTTCAAGGGCAGTGGACAATCCAAAGCCAGATATTTTTGCAATACCTCCTTGGATAAGAATATTTGGTGAGGACTAATTTCATACAACACAGTAATTGAAATGTGCCAGATTAATGTACAATGACAATTGTATACTAATATAACAGAAATCATCCATATAATTATACATACCAAGTCCTTGTGAACAATTTCAAGACTATGTAAATACATCAATCCTTCAGTAATCTCCACACCTAGCTTGTACTTATCATTCCATATGAGATTAGGGAAGTATTTCTGCAGGTGTTCAAACAATGTTCCACCATCTGCATATTCAAAGACCATGTGGTAATGGCCAGATAGATCTGTTTAAGTTATAAAGTTAAAGAGAGACTTTATAGTCAATATTATGCATACAGTAAACTGCAATATCCAATATTACCCAACATACCTTCCTGACATATTCCTAAGAACTGTATAATGTTTGAATGATTATCCACCTGCTTATGGGTTTTTAACTGTTTATATGTAGATTATATGTTATAAAATAATTCAGTTTAGCCAGCATGCAACAATTGGGACAATAAAATTAATAATAACCAGTGCCTACCTCTTTGACAAACTGCTTATTATTATATAATTCTTCTTCACGACCATAACGGTTTAGAAACAAAGTTTTCATTGCGACTGGTAGTTTAGATTGCCTTATCTTGGCTTTATGTACAACACCATATCCACCATGACCAAGAAGTGTACGCTCAATGAGGTCATTTTCTGCATATTGTCTGATAAACCCTTCCTGGACACTTTTAACTAGCCACTCCCTGTATATGTTGTTAGATGACTGACCCTGGGACATATTTGACTGAGAGGCAAATGCTAAAGATAAGTTGGTCTCAACCTCTGCCAAAGCTGTTGCTCCTGTGTTTCCAATTTTAAGTTCTAATGATTGTGTAACCAAAGACTTTAATTGTCTATTTACTTCTTCACATGATGGACGTTTATCAGGGTCTTCATCCCAGCATTTTGAATATAGATTGATATAGCATTCAGATGTTCCAGGGAATGGAGAATCACAAGAACCATTCAATCTGTATATAAAAATCTCATCACTTCTGGTAGCCCCTTGACATGGAAGTTTCCCACTTGAAATCTCCCAAAGTATTACGCCAAGGCTGAAGATGTCTGATTTTTTCCCACGTCTATAAGAACTGTCCTTAAGAGATAGTGGGTCAATATATACTGTATTTCCTTCACCTTTTGATGTAGACATAATTGGTTTGAGGGCAGTGGACAATCCAAAGTCAGTTATTTTTGCAATACTCCCTTGGATAAGAATATTTATTGAGGACTAATTTCATATAACACAGTAATTGAAATGTACCAAGATTAGTGTACAATGACAATTGTATATTAATATAACAGAAACTATATAATTATACATACCAAGTCCTTGTGAACAATTTCAAGACTATGTAAATACATCAACCCTTCAGTAATCTCCACACCCAGCTTGTACTTATCATTCCATGTGAGATTAGGGAAGTATTTCCGCAGGTATTCATACAAAGTTCCACCATCTGCATATTCAAAGATCATGTGGTAATGGCCGGATAGATCTGTTTATAATAAAGCTGAGACTTTATAATTGATATTTATGTATACAGTAAACTGCAATATCCAATACTACTCAACATACCTTCTTGACATATTCCTAAGAACCGTATAATGTTTGAATGATTATTCACCTTCCTATTAGTTTCCAACTATTATATGTAAATTATAGATTATGAAATAACTCAGTTTAACCAGCATGCAACAATTAGGACAATAAAAACTAGTAGGTAACCGGTGACCACCTCTTTGACAAACTGTTTATAGAATTCTTCTTCACAATCATCAGGGTTTAGAAACAAGGTTTTCATTGCGACTGGTATTCTAGATTGCTTTATCTCGGCTTTGTATACAACACCATATCCACCATGACCGAGAAGTATAGGATCACTAAGGTCATTTTTTGCATATTTTCTGATAACTCCTTCCTCGATGCTTTTAGCTAGCTGTTCCCTGTATACGTTGTTAGACGATTGACCGGACATATTTGTTAAAGCAGAATCTGCAAAAATGTGCCGCCGAGTACTTACGGCACGTAGATCTGTGTGACTTGTACACCGTCTCACTAGTTAGCCCGACAGAGTATGAAGTGTATAAAGTGTCGGGAAAAAGTGTCTGAATTATTTATTGACTATAACAATAGAATGCCGTTTACAGATTTCACTGTCAACCAAATATTAACAAAGCTGTTCGTTTACTGTGATAGTATGCAATCGATAGTGAGTTTGTCGGTTTGAATAATAATAACCGGGGTAGCGCATGAACCTAGTTAGATAAGTAAATAATATCATCGCATGTCGATATAATTTTATCGTAGTTCTTGATCACACGCCTAACGGAAGTTGCATAATTATAACGTCTTCAGGTAATCATGAAGGGCATAGTTATGAAAATATTAAGAACTAACTATCTAGTGCAGTAGTGATGAATTTGATTGTTTTAGTAGTCAATCAAAGATTACAGTGGGGATCGGCAATAAACACATCATTGTATTTAGACTTGATTCATGTTTGCAGCCCCATATATTGAAATTTGTTAGGACGTTTGTAAAATGACAGATAGAGTAAACAGTCTTAATTTTCCTTAGCGAATATCGTTTCAACACAACCTCTTTTATTTCGTTATTTGTTCTTATAATATTCCTTGCGTTTTTTATATTCTAAATATATAACTCAGTATTTAAATATAAGTTATTACAGTACGTCCATTCCCTGGCGAATTTACCTCTATCGTCGGTAAAGTGAAAACGCTTTCCCGTATCAACGGTAAACGGAGTAATTTAATTCTTTATAAACGTGTTTAGTGTAGAAAACTTCCTCGACCTTAGGCTTTCGAAACTAATTCTATCGAAAGAAATAGAGTGATATTCGAAGTTAAATAATAATTTGGGGATGCATATACAAGACCGATTATTGGGCATCGTGAGTATTCCGAAAACCAATTGTAAGGTCACTATTGTCGTTTAAATATTTACCGATAGTCAAAAGTTCCGATTGAAGACGCTAAATCTCAAGGTCAATATGCTGACACTCTCCCATGTGTATTGATCCGACAGTTGTTAATATCCTGATTTGCTTTATGAAGCTCTTAGAAGGAGCGTAGACTGTAAAAGTGACAGATAAAGATTATATTACCAGAAAAAAAAAAGTTAATCAGCAGTAATGGATCAGAAGACTTGATTATGTGACACTAGTCAGAAGGTTACTTTGAGATATGTAAAGCTGCATCATATTATTGTAGGCCTCTTCTACTGACCCATGATTTATCATTTTATTTTTAAAGTGAACTTATTTGTTCTGAAAATTCATTATAGTTAATGCTTCAAGAAATATTCAGTCAGCATGGCAATGTTTGCAAACAATTGCAGAATGGTCCATTCTTGACTAATTTCAAAAGTCACTAAAAAAGTCTTTCCATCAATGACAAACAAATCTCCATCTGTTTCAATCAGTTTCTTATCCACTTCTGGCTAATTGCTACTCTTAGCATTAATGGCCTATTAATTTCATCGATTATGTTTAGGTAATTAATAACATCGCCGTTTCGTCATACAGATAAATAATATATTACCGCTCTATATAAAATATTTAAAACCTGACTATATATTATATTGTAATATTATCTCAATATATAATTAATCATATGATTTACAGTTCTTATGTGTGTGTGACTTATTGAAGACATTGTTGTTTTTATGTAAATGGTGTAATTGATCAGATGCATTATAAGATTTCTTTACACTTAATATTAAGCCCCTGCATATCATAAAATACTAATTCTTACTGCAATACTGCTAGAATTTTAAATGTTAACTTTGACAGAAGTAATTTAAGGCTTCTGAGTTAGATAATACAACTAAATAAGAAATGTCACAGCTGGTGCTGAAATTAGGAAAGAACTTATGGAGCTAATACTAACATTAAACCAAACGCAAACTTGCTATTGGTTCATTAATCTTATGCTACAGTATAAATAAAAGTAACTGTCATCTTATTGATCTCATAAATAAAGAAAATTTTAATCAAATTTCCCTTAACTGCTAAAGCTTCTTGATATTCTTCCTATCCCCTTTTTGTCAAGAATAATATAAATCTTTCAAACAAAAATGTGATGCCAAAGCCTTTGTCAAATCCTTTGCTCCTGTTTCTCCTATATTATTATGTTCTAAATTTAAAGATATCAAAAAAAAATTTGATCCCAGTGCCTTTGCCAAAGCTGTTGCTCCTGTATCACCTATCTTATTCCAGTTTAAATTTAGAGATGTCAAACAAGAATGTGATTCCAGAGCCTTTGACAAAGCTGTTGCTCCTGTATCACCTATCTGATTATGTTCCAAATTTAGAGATGTCAAATGAGAATTTGATTCCAAAGCCTTTGCCAAAGCTGTTGCTCCCATATCTTCTATCTTATTATGTTCTAAATTTAGAGATGTCAAACCAGAATTTGATTCCAGAGCCTTTGCCAAAGCTGTTGTTCCTGTATCTTCTATTTTATTATGATATAAATTTAGAGATGTCAAACAAGAATTTGATTCCAGAGCCTTTGCCAAAGTTATTGCTCCTGTTTCTCCTATATTATTCCAAACCAAAATTAAAGAAGTCAAATGAGAATTTGATCCCAGAGCTGTTGCCAAAGCTGTTGCTCCTATATCACCTATCTGATTAGATGAAATATTCAGCTCAAGCAGAGAAGAATTTGATTTCAGAGCCTTTGCCAAAGCAGTTACTCCTGCATCTCCTACATTATTATGTTCTAAATTTAGAGCTGTCAAGCAAGAGTTTGATTCCAGAGTCTTTGCCAAAGCTGTTGCACCTGCTTCTCCAATATTATTATAACTTAAATTTAGAGATGTCAAGCAAGAATTGGATTGCAAAGCCTTTGCCAAAGCTGTTGCACCTGTATCTTCTATCTTATTATGTTCTAAATTTAGAGATTTCAAACTAGAATTGGATTCCAGAGCCTTTGCCAAAGCTGTTGTTCCTGTTTCTCCTATATTATTCCAAACTAGATTTAGAGATGTCAAACAAGAATTGGATTCCAGAGCCTTTGCCAAAGCTGTTGCTCCTGTATCTTCTATATTATTATGTTCTAAATTTAGAGATGTCAAACCAGAATTTGATTCCAGAGCCTTTGCCAAAGCTGTTGCACCTGTATTTTCTATATTATTATAACTTACATTCAGAGATGTCAAGTAAGAATTGAATTGAAGAGCCTTTGCCAAAACTGTTGCTCCTGTATCTTCTATCTTATTATGATATAAATTTAGAGATTTCAAACTAGAGTTGGATTTCAGAGTCATTGCCAAAGCAGTTGCTCCTATTTCTCCTATATTATTCCAAACTAAATTTAGAGATGTCAAACAAGAATTGGATTCCAGAGCCTTTGCCAAAGCTGCTGCTCCTGTATCTCCTATCTTATTCCAGTTTAAATTTAGAGATGTCAAGCAAGAATTGAATTGCAGAGCCTTTGCTAAAGCTGTTGCTTCTATATCTTCTATCCTATTATGTTCTAAATTTAAAGACACCAAACCAGAATTTGATTCCAGAGCCTTTGCCAAAGCTGTTGCTCCTGTTTCTCCTATATTATTCCAAACTAGATTTAGAGATGTCAAACAAGAATTGGATTCCAGAGCCTTTGCCAAAGCTGTTGCTCCTGTATCTCCTATATTATTCCAAACTAGGTTTAGAGATGTCAAACAAGAATTGGATTCCAAAGCCTTTGCCAAAGCTGTTACTCCTGTATCTCCTATATTATTATGTTCTAAATTTAGAGATGCCAAACCAGAATTTGATTCCAGAGCCTTTGCCAAAGCTGTTGCTCCTGTATCTCCTATTATATTATAACCTAAATTTAGAGTTGTCAAACAAGAACTTGATTTCAAAACCTTTTGTAATGCTGTTGCTGCTCTAGCATATCCAATCTCATTATAAAGTATATCTATAGATGTCAAACAAGTACAAGAATTTGATTCCAAAACCTTTTGTAATGCTGTTGTAGTTCTAGCATATCCAATCCCATTATAAAGTATATCTAAAGATGCTAAAGAGAAGTTGGTCTCTAGAGCCTTTGCCAATGCTGTTGCTCCTGTGTTTCCAATTTTACACCTACTCAGATCTAATGTGTAAACTAATGATTGAGTTATTAATGACTTTAGTATTTTATTTACTTTTTCACATGCTGGTCGTTTGTCAGGATTTTCATCCCAGCATTTTGAATATAGATTGATATAGCATTCAGATGTTCCGGGGAATGGAGAATCACGAGAACCATTTAATCTGTATATAAAAATCTCATTAATTCTGGTAGCCCCTTGACATGGAAGTTTCCCACTTGAAATCTCCCAAAGTATTACTCCAAGACTGAAGATGTCTGACTTTTTCCTACGTCTGTAAGAACTATCCTTAAGAGATAATGGATCAATATATGCTGTATTTCCTTCACCTTTTGATGTAGACATAATTTGTTTAAGGGCAGTAGACAATCCAAAGTCTGTTATTTTTGCAACACCTCCTTGGATAAGAATATTTGTTGAGGACTAAATCCATATAATACAGCAATTGAAATGTACTAAAATTAGTGTATGATGGCAATTGTATATCAGAAATATTATATAACAGTTAGAAAAAAAAAACCACATAATACATACCAAGTCCTTGTGAACAATTTCAAGACTATGTAAATGCATCAACCCTTCAGTAATATCCACACCCAATTTGTATTTATCATTCCATGTCAGATTAGAGAAGTATTTTTGTAGGTGTTCAAACAATGTTCCACCATCTGCATATTCAAAGACCATGTGGTAATGACCAGATAGATCTTTATTAAAGAGAGACTTTATAGTCAATATTTATGTATATGGTAAACTGCAATATCCAATGTTACTCAACATACCTTCCCGACATATTCCTAAGAACTGTATAATATTTGGATGATTATTCACCTGCTTATTGGTTTTCAACTATTATATGTTATGAAATAACTCAGTTTAGCCAGCATGCAACAATTGGGACAATAAAATTAATAAGTAACCAGTGCCTACCTCTTTGACAAACCGTTTATATAATTCTTCTTCACGACCATAACGGTTTAGAAACAAAGTTTTCATTGCGACTGGTACTTTAGATTGCCTCATCTTGGCTTTGTATACAACGCCATATCCACCATGACCAAGAAGTGTACGCTCAATGAGGTCATTTTCTGCATATTGTCTGATAAACCCTTCTTGTACGCTTTTAACTAGCCACTCCCTGTATACGTTGTTAGACGACTGACCCTGGGACATATTTGACTGAATTGATGAGAGGCGAAGAATCTGTGCGGTGTGCTGAGTACGCCATCTCACAGTTTAACCAATACAATCGTAGTCAGTGTGACACGTATGACAGTCAACCAAATATTAACAAAAAACCGTTCGTTTATTGTGATAGTATGTAATCAGTAGTGAGCTCACAGGTTTGGATAACCGGGCAGCACACCTTAGTCAGATAAACAAATAATACTCATCGTATGTCAATATCGTAGTTCTTGATCACGCTTAGCGGAAATTGCATAATTATAACGTCTTCCAAGATGGAGAACATAGTAAATCTCGTACATTACTTTTATCGAGGAAAATATTAAGAACCAACTATCTAAAATTTATGGAACTACAGTAGTGATGAGTTTGTTCACAAATTACATCGTTTTTGATGGATTGATGTCACCATTCGACCCAAGTGATGCGATATGCAAGGAAATTTACAAGTAGATTTAACCGGGTTGATCGATCATTCTAAATTCTGGACTTGCGATTTTGAAATCCGGAATTTGATCTCAATTCGGAATAAGCGCATACTTTTTAACTATTTCGATGCTACGTAGTATCGCACGAAAATATCGTGTGTGCGCAATAGCCAATATGTCTGGTCAGAACTGTTATTACGGAATACGAATTGTTCTGTTCTTACAGGTTTGTATTTTAACCACTTTATTTATTACGACTGTTGAATCAGACACGTGCTAACACACACGTACTCGAACACCACGTATCCAGCCCCCCCCCCTGCAAAGCGAACATGGTGAAGTTACGTAGATCCTCCAGGAATTTTCTTTAATTGATCGGCCAATCTCAGATCATCAGATAATTACGGTGATGAAACATGACAATCAAATGATATCACAAATTTGATCTTGTGCACTTGTGATAAACCTTTTTGCTCGTTGTCTGGTTGGTTCCCCACAGTCGATCGAATCTAACCAAAATGGATCATGGAACTAGCGCGCGCTTAGACTACCCCGCTGTATACGTAATCGAAAAAGGAGCGGCGTTTTTTCCTTTTGCAGAGAAAATTAAACCTGGACATTTTCAGCGATCGCTTATTTATGCATGCCCCTTGTTTTCAGATGATCGAAATGAATGCTTATTGGTAAACCATTCAAACCGAGAAAAGAAAAAGTAAAAAAAAAAAAAAAAAGTTCCGGATTCAACGATCACGCTACTCTATATTCATCTTCGATGTAACGAACTTTTAAATGCCAGGATTATCAATTCTACCTTCTCGTGCTTATCAACCCGAATCGCTAAAATCACATTCCACAAAGTGGGGTCGGGTCGGGAGGGAAGGGGGTTTTTTTATTTGAATTAATACGTTTTATATGTACTGTATATCTTCATATCTATAAATCATGTTTGATAATCAATTTTATTACATGACGCATAGAATGCATCAACAAATAACAATATATGAAAAGACTGACTAGTTTTGTTCCAGCATCAAATTTATAATCCATCTTGAACGCGTGTTTTAATACCGTAAAAGAAATTAATTAATTAATACTATTATTATTGTCATTACTACAAAATCATTTATTTTCTTTTGCAGTTTTTTAAAGTAAGTTTTTATTATAAAAAAAAAAAAAAGAAATTGGCGCGCCAGCCAAAACCACACCACTCAAAACCACACCACTCTCTACTTCTTTTGGTTTATCGCTTTTCATTAGTTCGGATAAATCACAATCCCACAGCCCGCTCTCGGAACAGAGCAATCCCCCCCACAGTCTGATATGTGCATAGTTTACAACAGAGTAAATACAAATGACTATGATAAAAGGGTATTGTTAAGAATATGACCTTTTCCAATTAAATCCAAATTAATTATAAAGTTCTAGTGTACAAAGTAAATTGGTGTCGTCACAAAAGTGACATTATCACAGAAAGCGCGACTTTCGCGACTTTTTTATTAGCACATAGTACTGCGAGCTTCTTTGCGTTTATTATTACTATTATTATTGTTTTTTCCACTAAACGTCCGTAAACTATTCGATTTTGCAATGCCCGGTACTGGAGCATCCTTGGGCGTAGTTGCGTCTTTGGGTGGTGCAAAGTCTGAATAATGCTTCAGCAACGTTCTTGTTTTTTCCTGCATTTTCCATTCGTGCCATTTCTTCATTGGCACCGGTTTAACTTCTACTTTTTCTGCATCTCCACCTCCGTGACCATTGTCAACTCCCGAAATCTTACGAGTGGCACCCCATGAGAAGTCTGCACGAAAAAAATTACGTTAGATATACCGTACAATAAAGAGATGGGGGGAGGAGGGGGATAACAACAGCATTGCGTAAAAAGTTTTGGATAAATTACCATCAAAGCGCCAGTATGCATAAGTCGGGAGGACGAAATTCCAGATAGGAAAAGCAAAAATATACGCCACCATCCAAAACAAATTCGTGACCTTGCGTGAAGAAAGTACAAGCAATAGTGACGGTAGGAATAACACTACTGCAAGAAACTGTAGCTGTGGGCCAACGCTCTGACCCAATATGCCCGCGATTACCAAATATACCGCAACCAGTACAGAGAACGGCGTCACGGCAGATCCAAACAGTTCCAAAAGCAAGACGAATTGCATAGAGCAGCAGGCAAATCCACACAAGTAAGGCGTAATGACAAGTTCCATAAGACTGTGGACAGTCGAGTTGATCCAACGCCGTCTTTGAGAGAGCAAGACATTGAATTTATCCGGTACGACCGTCTTGCAGATGGCTTTGGGTTCGTAGATGATTTTGCGTTTGGGGAAGGTCTGTAACATTAACGTTGTCAGGAAACGATCTTCACCAAGAATTAACAAATTCTTGCGGTGTAAAGAGTCTAAATCGTTTGATGCGTATGCATCGACAATGTCGGGGTTTGCGAGAATCGGTACGAAATATCCATCGCTTTTCGGTGCTTTGATTCGGTACATACAGAAACATCCCGGTAAGCAAGTAACTCCACCAAAGACGGACTCGAATGACTTTCCAAGATGGTGAGAGATGTAATATTCAAACACCTGAAATTAATCGGGGAAAGGAAAATTTCGTATGTTAATAACCATTTATCAATTGTCATGCGTGAAACCGTATATTACTATTATATAAATTTTTTTTCTTACCTGAATCATGGTAACCCAACTTTCAGTCTTGTTCCCCACTTTAGTCTCACCGCTCATTCCGAGAATTGTAGGGTCGCTCTCCATGGCCGCCACTAGATGACTAGCACTATCCGGCTTTACAACCGTGTCAGCGTCAACCATCAATATCATTTCATACTTGTCAGGTGTCACACCAGTCAGATTGTGCACTTTTTCAAAAAGTTCGTATTCCAATGGACACATATCCTCGTTGAAACAAATGTGACGGAGCCACCTCATCAAGATCAACTGAGAGTCGCGTTTGCCACGATTTCCCGGCTTTGGACCTTGACGTTCTTCAGGAGTACCGCACTTGATAATCAAAACCATCGGCACCCGATTACCACCGGAGTTGTAATGACCAGTGTACACTTCTGCCATATTATGCTCTTTACCACCGTCGCCAGTTGCAATGTAAGATTGTGGCTCGGGATCGGGTGCGCCCGGGAACTGGGGCTCGAGCAGGTCTTTACATATCTGCGGCGTCGATTTGTCGTTCTCCGAGCCCGTAATATCACCGTCGGCAATAACGAACAATAATTTGTGATCGTTGGGATACGTCGTATTTGCCAAGGAATCCAGAGTAGATCTTATCGAGGTTTCGCCTTCGGAATAACAAGTGACCAAGAGCATGATATGATTATTGGCAACGTTTATGTCAGGCTTTTTGGATAACCTTTTCGCCAAGTAAAAGTCAAAGAAAGAGGCAAAGGCAAATTTAACCGATGTTACGCCAAGGAATAGAAATGTTACCAGCCTCAAAATAGCGCTGGCGACAAAACAGCTTGCAGACGTTCCATCATTGATCACTCCGACTTTAAAATGTTCGAGACATTTACCAAGGTTTGTATTTTCGCGTGCGATATCCATCGTTGCATCTCGACCAACGAGATCTTTGATCCATTCGGTGACCGCATTGTTGCCAAGCCAGTAATCCGTATTGGTCGAATTCAAGTAATCTGTCACGTCATAGACGTCTCCATTGAATGCGAACAGGTGACGTCCCCCTTTTGTTACGTCGTTCCAACTGAATCCGACAAACATGTTCATAGACAGGCTCTCAAGCTCGTTTCGTGATGCCTGCGAGATGTGGCAATGGAGTTTGTTGTTCTTCGTTGCAATGGCTTGTGTGCAGATCGATCCATTGTTTATAGGTGCACGTCCACATCCAATAGACTTGTAATCCAGAGGAAAGAATCCGGAAATGTCATGCCCGAACAATGGCGTTATCGTCGTGTTCAAATCTGCATCGGTAAACGGAGCAATCGGTCTATGTTTCCCGGTTGTAAAGTAGGTTCCCGTATTAAACAATTGACCGCGTATTATGTGTGCCTTTGTTCCAGTTGAATTGGGTCCAAACAACCGTGTTACTTCTGATTGGGGCACTAACTTTTTATCGTTGCATGCGATGGGCGATAGAGCAAAACTCAAGAATGCCGAGACCATCGAGGCCAATAATATAAGGAAAACCAATGCAACCTTTTCTCTCCAAGCTTGGCGAACTTTTGGATTATCCATTTTACCAACGGAAAGTAGACATGTATTACAGAAGCAACTAGTGACGATCAATGAGAATATGACCCAGGGTGAGTTGGGATCTTGGCCAGGTTTTCTGCGTTTAGGTTCCCGGGGTATTTTTGGTCTTATTGCAATTCGTCGTGCGTTCGTTGAAGCAGCCTCATCCGGCTCCATCTTAGGACTGGGTGGCCGGTACGCGTCAGACTTTGTCTTTTGTAGCGTTAATGCACGCATATTCGAGGCCAAGAACTGTGTTTGCCTACTATAACGAGGGGAACGTACGGATGTCGGCGAGCGCGGAGGCATGAACGGTGATTGTGGTGGGATGGCTGGTGAACACGGTGATTGTGGAGATAGAGGAGATAAAGGTTGCTCTGGAACATAATCATTTATTAATAACGCAGCTTCTTTGCGGCCGGCATCGAGAGCGACTGATACTGCATTTTTGCCATTTTTTGTAGATATGTGCTTGTCTGCGTTATTCTCCAACAAAAGGGAGCATATTTCTGGCCAGCCTCCAAAGGCCGCGAGCATAAGAGCTGTCCATCCTTCCTACATGAAGGGATGAATGCGAGAATGTAAACAAAACGAGATGATACGGATACGATCGATTGACAAATAATCCGTCTCCGGTCGTAGTGATAAGATACCTGATCGACTAGGTTTACATCTGCTCCTCTCGATAGCAATATCTCTACGACTGCAAAATGGCCACCGTATGCAGCGAGTGCCAAGGCTGTCCTTTGTGCACTGTTTTGATGATTGACGTTTGCTCTACCATGGTCCAGTAATATGCGGCATACGCCCGCATAGCCTTTGGATGCAGCTACGATTAAAGGAGTCGAACGTTCTCCCTGTTTGTGATTAGAAAAAAATAAATCAGATAAAAATTTCCCGACAATTTGGTAAATAATGGGTGGGTAGTACAGTCTAACTCGAATTGGAACCTCCGCAAAATAAATACAGGGAATAACCCAAATTTAGTATAAGCGACCAGCACATCAATTTACCTTGTTTTCGGAATCGACTAATACTCCAGAACCAATTAGAATTTCAACAATTTCGACGTTTCCTGCCGAGGCAGCTTGAAAGAGGGCAGACTCACCGTCATTGTCTGAAAGCGTGAAAGTAAAAGTAAAGCAATATTAGTTGTCTTGTTGCCACAAAGCATTAAATGGAGTTTATTCAAGTTCTATCAACCTTTCAAGTCAATGTCAAGGTTTCCAAGAGTCAACAAGTATCTGACTACGGTTGGACAATTTCTGGAAGCGGCAACCATCAACGGTGACATGTCGTCTTCATCTCTCAACTGGTTTATGTCGAGATTGGACTCTTCTAGTAACGATCTGATGCGGCCTACATTGTTTTGGATGATGGCGCTGAATATTTCTGTCGAATTATAATAACTTGCTACTGAACTTTCGCTTGGAGTTTGTGAGCGATAATAACTATATATGGGTAAATCTGATGATTGACGCTCTTGTTCCATGGTTGTGTCGGGAAATAAGGAATATAAGAAAGGAAGGTGGTGGTAGTGGATTATCCACTTTTTGAAAAACGGTAAATACTATTTCTATCTACGCACAAAAAAACTTTTGATGGAAGAGACCAGCCTCGTCCTCGTTAATTTTTATTGTCGCATCCGGGGACGTGTCATTTATAT